TTCAGTCTTGTCTCTTTCCCAATAAAATTAAAACAACTTGGTGCCTTCAGTTAAACTTGGGTCATCACTTAGAGCATATAGCCACAAAGTCAGGGAAGGCTGCTAAGTTTGCTTATAGGTAGACGTTTGTCTTTTCTCTACTACGGTGCCTAATAAATGGTTGCTGATTGATTGATATGGGAGGCAATGGTACTAGAAAATGATAACAATGCAATTAAAAAACAATAGAAACTTCAATATAAAAGAAAAAATGATCTAGGTCAGAGGGTTTTACCTGGGGTCTGTGAACTTGTATGTGTGTTTTTACAATTTAGATAACTATATTTCAATAGAATTGGCTTTCTTTATAACTCTGTGTGTTTTATTTTATGCATTTAAAAACATTATCCTGAGAAGGAATTCATTGGCTTCACTATATAAATGTATAGATATAGATCTCTCTCTCTCTCTCTCCACACACACACACACACACACACACACACACACACACACACACCCAGGTCCATGACCAAAAAAAGGATTTAGAACCACTGTTCTAGACTTAGGGCATGTCCAAGAAGAAGACTTAGAAGAGTGATTGAGATAACTTGATGAAAAGGAGACTGAATGACTCTGGAAGTGGCAGCCCAGGAATCCCAGGGAAATGAGGTGGTGGGAGGTGGTCAACTGAAGGCAAAAGATAAAAATTTGGATCCTGATCAATAAGTAACATGAACTACACGTACAAATAACCCTATGACCCTTAGGGTCAAGGGAAGTGAGTTCACGGTCACCACAACAGGCAAAGCAGAATCAACTTTGGGAGCGGGTGGTTCTAGGCAGGAGGGGGAATATGTAGGCAGTGGTGGGAGTAGGGCCTAGAGATGGAGAAGGAAGATGAGGAAGAAGATAATCAGACATGAAATGAGAATGCATGGCTCAAAGCAATGAGTGGAATGGGATGACAGAGGAAGTTGGGGAGGGATCAGTATTCACAGGCAAGTGAGGAATGCTGCATAGCCTCCAAGATAAAGAAAATAGAGACAAGACAGGGCAGTGGCAGAGACCTGGATTGGTAGTCAAGAGTCGTGGGTTTGCCTCTGACTTGGTCCCTTACTACCTATATAATCTTAAGTAAATTACTTAACCTCCTATTTCCTTGTTCGTAAAAATAGATTGTCCATAAAAATAGATGATCTATAAAACTCTCAGCTTTGAGATTCTATGAATAAGTAATGTGTACAGTGGCATACATTTCTGTAGACACAAAAAGACTCAATCAACAAGTGTTTATTAATTCCTATTATGAGCTAGGTTTGATTGTACAAAATTATACAAAAGATTATATGAAGATTATACATATTATACAAATACAAAGAATGAAACAATTCCTTCTTTTAGAGAGCTTAGTTTCTAATGGAGAAGTCATCAAGTACATATATAAATAAATACAAAGAGAATAAATACTTCAGGTGGGAAAAAGACAATTTTGTCTGGGCACTTTTTGAGCTGTTCCGAAGGGTGGGAAAGAAAGGAAGAGGAGAGTCAGAGGAGGTCATAGATAAACAAAAGGCAAAGGAAAGAGATAAATTTGTGCTGAATAAAGAACATGAACCTGGAACTTGACAGGCCTGGATTCTAGTCCTGATTTTATCACTATGTTGCTGGTTCACCTTGAACAAGTCTTTTCCTCTTTCTGTGCCTCAGTTTCCTCATTTGTAAAAATAAAGGGGTTTGCCTATGTGCTCTCCAAAGTTCTCTAGCTCTAACCTTCTAGGAAACTATAGGTGGGGAAAATGACATATATTATGTACATTTTTCTGTGTCTACAGTGAAACAGGGAAGTCAAGTCACACAGATATTCATTGCTAACATTTTTAGCATTTGTGAAATCCTTCTTATATGCTAGACCTTTCATTTTAATTCAGAGAATGTGTGGTAGCACACAGGGTTATGCTTTAAGCAGGGGTTCTTTTTTATTAATTTATTTTGATTTATCAACAATCACTTCCATATGCTTTTGAGTTTAAAATTTTTCTCCCTCTTCCTCCCCACCACCCTACCCAAGATGGCGCACAATCTAATATAGACTATACATATCCATTCCTATTAAACATATTTTTACATTAGTGATGTTGTAAATAAGAATTAGAGCCAATAGGAGGAATCACCAGAAAGAGGAAACAAAATTCAACAGAAGAGAAAAAAAATAGTAAGTCAGGGGTTCTTAACCTGGGTCCATGGACCCTATGCAGGTAGATTTTGGAGTGTCTGTAGACTCAGATGGAAGTAAAATGACATCTTCATTTTCATTAACCTCTAATTGAAATTTGACATTTCATTTGATTATTTGAAAACATAATTCTGAGAAGAGGTCTGCAGGCTTCACTCAGCTTCATGGACAAGGCCCCCCGGCCCAAAAAAGGTTAAATGCCCCAGCTCAAAATTAAGAGTTGACTGGAGATTTTTTTTTTAACTTCTGAAGTCACATACATTTGAGTTTGCTGGGCATGGCAAGAGTTTTCAGATTTATTTAAAGTAAAAACAAACAAACAAACAAAAAAACCAACTGTATTTCCCATCTCCAAAATGGCAGTAGAGATTTTCTCAGAACTCTTTAAATGTGTCAGTTAGAAGTCATTCTAAGAATGAACATTTGAAGCCAAGGAGGATATTTTTCTCTCAGAAATTTATGAGCACATGAAACTACTAGGGGCTAAAGGGAGAGTCTGTATATAACTTTCAGTTAAATGTTTAGACAGTGATAATTAATGAGTAAGGAGAGGAAAAAACCCTTCTGTGTAAAGAAAGAGCAGGTGACTATTAAAAATTTAAACCATTTAACTAGCTGACAGGCAAGGGCAGGGCTGGTTCTCTATAAGAAAGAGCCCAGCCTGAATTTTAAATGCTTCCAGTTGGCTGTTCTGTGGCAGTGAAGGTGCTCTTGCAAAGGTCAGCAGTCTTAAAAGTACAAAATGTCCATTCTCATAAATAAGGACAAACAGATGGCATGCTCATATGCCAAAGAAAAGGGAGCTTTTAATTCACGATTTTCTGCATTTCTGGCATAACTTAAATTGTATTTAGTGGATCCAAGTCAATGGCCAGGAAAAAGAAACGCCCACTAGAACTTGTCAGACACAATACAACTTTGTGAAAATGTCCCTGAGAATAAAACAAACCCAGTTATTGGTTCTACTCATGGGAGAAGGAATATTTTTAGGTAGTGCAGGAGAGAGAGAACTAGTCTTGAGGTCAGGAAGACCTGAGTTCAAATCCTGTCTCTGACACTTATTAGTTGGATGACACTTAGGCAGTCACTTAACCTCTCCCACCCTCAGTTTCCCCATCTGTAAAGTTGGGGAGAGAGGGAAAATAATAGCCCCTATCTCCCAGGGCTTCTGTGTGGATCAAATGAGACAATATTTATTTCAATTTTTTCCAATTTTCAATTTTTCAAACCTTCAAGTGCCATATAAATGTCAACTATTCTTGTTCTTCATAGTAAGAGTTGGAGGTATAGAAACAATCTAGTCCAACGACCTCATGAAATGTTTCCTGATGGAAGATGAGGAAACAAGCCCAGAAATAAAGTGACTTCCCCAAGGTCACACAGAGCCAGAATTTGAACTCAGAACCTGTGTTTCCAAGTGCAGCACTTTTCCTGTAAGGCTCTGACATCACTGAGTATGTCATAAAGTGGAGCATTTAAGACTGGAGTGGACCTTGGGGATCATGGGATCATAGAATAAGAGGTGGATGAGACAAAAGAAGTCATCTACTCCAGTAACCCCATTTTGTAGATGAGAAAACAGGCCCAGAGATGTGGTGACTTTCCCAAAGTCACAAAGGTAGTAAATGGAAGTAGGATTTGAACCTTCTGATTCCAGACTCACAGCTCTCTCCCCTGTACCACCTGTTTCACATAAGTCTGAGGAGCAAGGATGTCACTAACCCTGCAGCCTATATATTGGTAAGAAGTCTAATCCAAGAGAAATCAAATAATCAGTAATAAGAATCCCTTCTATTTCAATCATGCTTTATATCATGACAATTTACCAAGTCCTATCCCAGCCCTCCATCTCACTAGATTCTTACAACAACCCTGTCAAGGTAGGCAGAGCACAAATACCCATTTTATAGATGAGGAAATTAAAACACAAAGCAGATAAGCTTAGCTTGGGGAGTTAGAGGCAGAGGTAAGGATTTGAATCAAGGCTTTCTCCTCATCCTGCCCCCTCTCCCCCCCATTATTGAAAATGGGTAATATTTCCAGGAATTCTGTTTAGGTGAAAAATTCCATAAAGTTCCAGATTTCAAAATCAGGTCCAGGTGACAGAGTGAGTTGGAATATTCAGGCTAAGTCTTTTCTTTCAATCCCCACACCTAGGTCTGATCAATTTAGATCATTCAGGCAAATATGAGAGTGGTGGGTCTTGTTTTTTTTTTTTTGCTTAAACTAGACCAGTTATGCCATATGACTTCAAGATTGCCCAGTGACTGAGACTCCACCATGCCAAGTGTGGGAGATTACTTAGCTTTTTTATTTCAGTTGAGCATAGCACTTTGTTCCCCTAGTAAAGCAAGAACATCTCAGAATTCTTGAGTAGCAGAAGACCTTCGGGGCCATCTATTATACAGCTCTACCAGACAGATTAGGTCTAGGAATGCATGAATTCTGCCTCATAAATGACGTCAGGAATACTGATCCACTTCCTTGACATTATCCTAACAATGGGAGTCTAATGAAATAAATACGCCAACTCTACATTTTTCCAGTGGTGGTAGGTCTTACAGATGTTCACAATTTTCACCATGGCTCTTACTTAAACAGCCTCTGGAGTAGGGAGAGAACACACATGCACACACACGCACACACACACACACACAATCATAATAATTTACAATTTGTCAGGGTTAAAGAGCCAAAGAAACTGAGATGTTTCCCAGGAGAGCATTATGGTGTGGGCTCACAAGGGACACGTACTGGAAGAGGGGGACAAGTTATTCCAAAGTCTTACCTTGAGCAGGGAGATGCTGGACAGCAGCTCTTCAGCCCTGGCTGGCTCCTGTCTCACCTACTTCTTTGAAGCCAGTAAGTTCAGTACCTTGTGCCTGAAACTCAGTCGCAATAGAGCCAGGTTAATTATTGGTCTGAATCATCTCTGGGGTGGATTTTTTTAAAAGCCTCTTTCAAAATACAATAAATAATTGCTTCATTGCAATTAAGCAATGACAGTATGCATGAAAAACTATACTCTGACTGGCTGAACAGACAATACTACCTTTCTAATCATCTCCCTGGAAAACACACATGTACCTTTTCACCAGGCCAATTATTAGGAGGCTTCCAGTACTTTGAATATAGGGGGCCTTAAATGACACCGATTACTATATATAGAATGATGGAAAATGGGATCGGAGAATCTGAGTTCAAATCTTGACTCTGCTACTCCCTGATTATGAATGATTTAACTTCTTGGGACTAGTTTCTTTATCTGAGAAATGAGGTTTAGATTAAATGACATCTAAGGTTTCTTGTGGCTCTGCATCTAGATGGGGTTTCTTTACTGGGCAGGCCAGTGGTTCTTCTGGTTAGGGCACTGGTGCTGGATGATTCAGAAACTCTTATGTGTTTAACTATAGTATCATCTTTATGCAAATCATTCTGCAATCTACATATCTGGCTCTCATCTCTTTCCCAAGCCCTAGTCTTGCATCTCCAGTTGAATGTGGATCATTTCTACCTGAATTTCTGTCTTAGGAGGCTGATGGCTGCTGTCCTCACTTCAGGTACCTGAGTGCCAAAAAGGACTGACGCTCCTCCCAGATAAAGTCCCACCTTCTACCAGAAACCTTTCCCAATCCCCCTTAATGCTTTCCCTCTGTTGATTATCTCCAATTTATCCTGTATATATCTTATTCATATGTAATTGTGTGTCTGTATCTCTCTCATTAGGTTGTGAGCCCCTCAAGAACAGGGACTGACCAAAATTCACTGTTTGTCAAAAACTGCTGGGAAAACTGGAAAACAGTATGGTAGAAGCTAGGTATAGCCCAACATCTTATACCATACACCAAGATAAGATCACAATGGGTACACAATTTAGACATAAAGGGTGATACCATAAAGAAATTGGGAGAGCAAGGAATGATTTACCTGTCAGGTCCATGGAAAAGGGAAGAATTTATGACCAAATAAGAAATAGAGAGCATGGATGGTTTTGATTATATTAAATCAAAAAGCTTCTGTGCAAACAAAACCAGTGTAGTCAAGATTAGAAGAACAGCAGAAAGCTGGGAAATATTTTTTACAGCAAGCATCTCCGATAAAGGCCTTGTTGCTCACCTATGTAGAGACCTGAATCAAATTTGTGAGAATGCAAGTCATTCTCCATTTCATAAATGATTAGAGGACATGAACAGGAAGTTTTCAGAAGGAGTCAAAGCTATCTACAATCATATAAAAATGCTCTAAATCATTATTGATCAGAGAAATGCAAATTAAAACAACTCTGAGGTACCATTTCACACCTATCAGATTAGCTAATATGACAGAAAAGGAAAATGGTAAATGTTGGGGGGGGGTATGGGAAAATTAGGACCCGAATGCACTGATAGTGGAACTATAAACTGATGTAACCATTCTGGAGAGCAATTTGGAACTCTGCCCAAAGGGCTATAAAACTCTGCATACCCTTTGACCCAGCAATACCCTTATTAGGTCTGTATCCCAAAGAAATAATAAAAAAGGGAAAAAGACCTATTTGTACAAAAATATTTATAGCAGCTCTTTTTTGTGGTGATAAAGAACTGGAAATTGAAGAGATGCTCTTCAACTGAACGAGTCATGGTCTATGATTGTGATGGAATACTAGTGTGCTACAAGAAATGATGAGCAGGATGCTCTCAAAACAACCTGGAAAGATTTACAGGAACTGATGCAAAATGAAATGAGCAGAACCAGGGGAACACTATACACAGTAATAGCAATATTGTAACAATGATAACTGTGAATGATTTAGCTATTCTCAGCAATACGATGATCCAAGACAATTCCAAAGGAATTATGGTGAAAAATTCTGCATACTCCCAGAGAAGGACTGACGGAGTCTGAATGCAGATTGAAGCATACTTTTTTCCCTTTATTTTATTTTATTTTTTTTGTTTTCTTTGTGTCTTCTTTAACAACTTGACTAACATGGAAATCTATTTTGCATGATTACACATGTATAGCCTATATCAAATTGCTTATCATCTCAGGGAGTGGGGAGGGAAAGGCAAGAGGCGGAGAATTTGGAACTCAAAATTTTTTTAAAAAAATTTTTAGGCAATTGGGGTTAAGTGACTTGCCCAGGGTCACACAGCTAGTAAGTGTCAAGTGTTTGATCTGAGGCCGGATTTGAACTCAGGTCCTGCTGACTTCAGGGCTGGTGCTCTATCCACTGCACCACCTAGCTGCCCTGGAACTCAAAATTTTTAAAAAATGAACATTAAAATTGTTTTCACATGTAATTAGGAAAAATAAAATAGTATTTAAAAAGCCAAAAAAAAAAAGATCAGGGGCTATTTTTTGCCTTCCCTTCTATCTCCAGTGCCTTAGCACAGTGCCTGGCATATACTAGGCTCTAATAACAGCTCGTGGACTGACTGACACAAGCAGATGACATAAAAAATAGGTTTACTCAGCTTGTAAGGGTGCACACCATTGTCAAACACAGAGCAAGATATCTGATACAAGGGTTTTAGTTTCCTTTTTCATTTCAGTAGGGTAGGGAAAGAGAAAAGAAATATCTTTTAATTTAAAAAACGAAAACTGAAAAAATACAATATAATAAATTAAAATAAAACAAAATAGCAAGAATAGGATTTGGCAAAGGCCTCCTGCTCGCCGGCATTCAGTGTTTTTCATAAGCCAGTGGAGATGCCAGGGGTCATGACATCAGAGCAAAGCCTTCCACTGTGGGTAAAACAAAGCTACTTTTGTGCTCTATCTGCCTCCATCTCAGGCCTACTGTCCAGTAACATTCCGTAGTTCCCATGTGACTCGAAACACTGTTGGTATCACAGGACCTGTTCAAGACTCACATAATGGGCACAGGCCTTGGTCATGGCCTACCAGTGTCACACCACAAAAGGACTACTAGGCCTTTTGAAATCAGCGTGTTCAAAATAGGTTTATTTTCTTTCTCCCCAAACCACCTACTTTCTCCTAACTTCCACATGTCTATTTGAGAGAAATGATTATTAGCCAATGATTTGGGGAGATCCAGAGTTTCCCCCTTTTTCTATAGTCCTCATTTCAAAATTCAGTCTCTTGAAGCACATTGCTGATAATGAGATTGGATGTTAACAGTTTTGTTCAGACCCCACCCAGGTGAGGAAGTCCTCTGTGCTCTACTCAGGTTTGGGTAGGGATAAATTCTTTGAATAGACTGCCCAAGGCTGGGGGTAACTTAGAAGTAAATGACATAATCAAAGTTCATTAGAATGGGTCAAGCCCCTCATTGTAATATTTATTCTCTCATTAATTGTCAACCAATCCGAGTTGATTGCCACCCTCAGGAACATCCCTCTTCAAAGGGTGTATAAGACGTGAACTTGCCGCCATGATTGTCTTTGGCATTTGAGAGTACCACTGACCTTTTATTAAAATGCTAGCATTATTAATAAAGTGAGTAATTACCCAGAAATTCTGTCTCGCAAAATTTTTAAACTCCACATACTGAGGGTACCATCGTGGTTATAATCTCCCAGGTTCATGACCTCATAGTCAACTTCAAATTGTGATTGCCTTTCTTCTCTCCCCACATTCAATCAATTGCCCATTCTTATGGATTTCACCTCCTGCACATCTCTCACATCCCTTCTTTTTAATCACTTCACAATCTCCCTAGTCCAGATGTGTATTATTTTACTGTCTCCTGGACCAATGTAACAGTCTTCCTGCCTCAGATCTTTCCCCACCCCCCATCTATCCTTCATGCAGCTGACCTTCCCAAAGCACATCTCCCCTTATAAGCCAGTTCCCTTTCCTGAGAAGCTTTGGTGACTCTCCATTTTCTTGGGGATAAAAACAGGAACATTTAAAGCCTTTGAAAATCTTTTTCCAGCCCATCTTTCCAGGCTGATCATCTGTCATTCTTTCTCCTATAAACATACTATATCCCTCCCAGTAGAATGGAACTTTCTTGAGGGCAGAGATTAGGTTATTTTTGTCTTTGTATCTCTAGTGCACTGGCACACAGTTGGTGCTTAATCAATGCTTATGGATTACATGATTAATCACCTAAAATATACATCTCAAACATCTTTTGGGCTCTGGACAGAATTAGCCTTGGAACATGAAACATGATGTCTAGGTCTTATCTGCAGGGGATGTGAACACAGATGCCACTATCTATTTATTTATTGATAAGGGATGGAACCTCTCTAGAATTTTTAATAAGGACTTCCTGTAACAACATTCCTCAGGGATGAGTTCTCTGGGCTTGTCAATTATTGTGTAACTACCCCACTGTAGTGTTTCTTTAATTCCACTCGAGATAGGTGAGTATTTGATTCCATTGGGCATCTTCATTATAATATTCTGAGTCAGCATGATAAGCACAGGGTGCTTGGTTTTGTCAATTCCACTCAGTCTAATCCAATAAGTATTTATTATGCACACACTATGTAACAGCATAGAAGGGGAAAATGGACAAAAAATGGGATTTATCCCAGACTACTTCCAAGAGATGGCTGTAGCTCCAAGGACAGAGGTATAATTAACGTCAAGCAACAAGCATTTATTAAATGGCTTATTTATTACATTAATCTGTTACAGAATAGACACTGGGTAAGGTGCCCTTTTTGTGCCTCAGTTTCCTTGCGTGTAAAATGGTAATTAATAAAGCACCCACCTCCCAACATTGTTGTGAGGATCAAATAAGACAATCTATTTGCAAGTCTTTTTTTTTTTGTCTAGGCAATGGGGTTAAATGACTTGCCCAAGGTCACACAGCTAGTAAGTGTCAAGTGTCTGAGGCTGGATTTGAACTCAGGTCCTCCTGCTTCCAGAGCCGGTGCTCTATCCACTGTACCACCCT